TACAACTAATACGTTTATTTTTTGTATAACAGAAGAAGATGAAGGTGAACAAGATCAATTGGGAAGAGAAGACTTTACTCCACCATTCGGGTTCGAGGCCTTTCTCCTATAGGATGGAGGGGCGGTGGAAGGTATATATTACATCTTTCCAATTTTAAAATGTTGCTAATAAAATTTTTTTTTTCGTACTAACATTTTTCTTATCTTTTTCTATTTCATGAGGGTTCAAAATTGCCGGAGATTGACGTCTTTGCTAACGTTTATGTTCAGCTGGGGATGAGTTGACTAAGTCCCTTCATGTAAGTAATTTCTTATGCATTAAAGATTTAAACTAATTATTTTAAATTGTTTTCTATTAATAATCCATGTTTTTCTCCACATGCAACTATGGTGGAGAAAGGTCAGTCGGTGCTTCAGGGGTCTGCCTCCCAGCTTCCCTCGGACACGCCGATGAAGTATGTGGATCCCCCTGAGGATGCAGTGTTTCACATCTTGATAGAGACGTTGGACCAAACTTTCAATCGAAGGCCAGGGACATTGTCGGGGGATGGGAAATGCCAGGCGGTGGGAGAGTGGAGCCTCTTCATCCTTGCAGTAGAAGGGTGAGGTTACAACTTTGACGCAGGAAGTCGCTGGCTTGAGGAGTGAGCTGGCATCGTACAAGTCTCAAATGTCAATGCTTGTACAAGCCTTCAGTTCCTCCAGAATACGTTTCCCTAGTTTTTTTGCACCACCGCCCTCATAGCCCATCCACCCCGAGTATACACAACAATCAAGCCCGTCGATCTCTGACCCTGTCCCCAACCCTTCCCCTTACCAGCAGCAAGATTACCAAGCACCTCCGAATGACTTGCCTATAGATTATTGCGTTTTTTTTTTCATAGTCTTGTTCCCGTTTTCTTTTAAAACTTTGTATGTGTATGTACATTTTTATTTATATTATAAATAAATTTTTACTCATTAATTTGTTTTTTTTTTTTTTTTTTTGTCATTTGTATGAAATTTTTTATTTTATTTATAGTTTTCCTTTTATTCTATTTAGTATTTTTTTTATTAAAACACTTGCATGATGCCGACTGGTTGTCGTGCAAAATCACGCATGTCTTATATATTTTGTCGTGCATTACCACTTGCGTCTTCCATTTTTCATCGCGCAAAACCACGCGCCTCTTGCATGTTTTGTCGCACAATTTTTTTGAGACAAATTGTTGACGTCCCTAAAAATTTCTCATCACAAAGCACACTTGTACCCTTTTATATCGTACGACGAAAGCCTTTGTCTAGATAACTTTCGCACGACGAGTACTAAAGCGTCGCAAAAGCTTTTAGATGTGTGACGAATTTGCACTTCTTCGTCACACAAGGTCTTTTTTCACGACCTTTGCGAGACAAATTTTGCACAACGATTTGTGTGTCGCCATAGGTTTTATGTGATTTAAAATGCTTTGCGCAACAAAGGCTCCCTCGTCGCGCAAAGTGTTTAATTTAGTAGTGTAGATCAATCTATCATTTGCTCGATACCATCCACTGCTCCTGGGTAAATCGTAAGATTGTTATTTGTACAAATGTTATTCGATACATTTTTGTATACACATTTTTTTATACGGGACGATGTTGGTATTATTTGAATCATCAAGCAAGATTTCAATCCTCAATGAAAGCACTCCAGATTAAATTTGGTGTAGCCTTAAACTAACAAAATCAACATAATAATAGCAGACCAAATTGACCAATTTTTTAGCCACTGCATTAGCCGAACGAATATATGACGAGCACAAGATGTTGTGAAGGAGAAATTTTTAATTGTGACAGGAATACGGATGGTACACCACGTGTTTTTATGTAAGTGGTGGGAAATGTTATTTTTTAAGTTATTAATTTTTTAACATGTATATCCCACCATTTGTATAGTAACACATGGTGTACCACTTTGTGTGCTAGTCACACTAAAAAATCTCCCGTTGTGAAGCTTCGTACCCAACTATATTGTCCCCCGCCACCCTCCAACCTCAAGGCAGAATATAATCAAACACTTACAGAAATTATGAATTTTAAGCTAAATTGGTTTCATTTCCAAAACTTTAGGAAATGTGTTGATGGACAAACAAAAACAAAGGAAAGGAATTGTTAATGATACTTTTTATCACTCTCGCATCTGTTCTTTAGTTTTCGGAACTAAATATATAAATTCACTGTTAAATAGCTTTTATTTTTCTTTTTACCTAAGATCTTCCCATACATGCATGAATAGATAAGGGAAAGTTTTGGAGAGTAAAATGATAGGATTTGTAGTATGAAATAAGAACATTGTTACATTAGATTCAGACGTTTATCAAAAAAGTAACATATATTTTTCTACATAAAAAAGGACTTGTAAACAATATTAGTTACTAACCAAATCATACTTTATCAGTAAATCTACATAAAGCAAATTAACTAAAGAACTGCAGCAGGTTGAGCCATATTATTCCAAAGGTCGTCCAAGTCTATCATGATGTCATCACCGTCAGCTTCATAAAATTGTGAGTAGTCAAATTGAGAAGTGGATGCTGATTCTGGTCACTCATGATCGGATGATTCTGATCTATATTGGCTGGAACTGCAAGTGAAGAAGCCACGGTGGGATCGGCAACAAAGTAGTTTGGCTGGTCTTGTGTAACAATGTGGTGTGGCTGATTAGCGAACCCAGTCGTAGCAGTCTGCGGCGGATCATAATGACAGAAAACAGTACCACTACTTGGGTCTTGTGTACTGGAGTAGTCATACTGTGGCAAGTCCGTCCTGTTATTCACAAAACCATTGTGCTGAAGATACTCTTCTTGGTTAGCCATACCTAGTGAAGAGGGCATAGTTGGACATGCTGCTTCTGCAACGAAATCATCTGGCCTCGCCATTGGTTCCTGTGAATCATAGTAGTATTGTGGAAACTTGGTAACATTAGAAAGCTGTAGCTGCTGCTGATTATAGTATGGATCAACATTAACCTCAACAACCACTGAAGATATGAGACTAACGTGACTATTCTGTGGCTCATAATCTTTTGGATGATCCTCATAGTAGTCGTATTTTCGCTGATCCACATTAGTCACATCAATACTCCTACTTGTACTATTGGCATTAAGATTAGTCTGTTGCTCTTGTTGTGGCTGTTGCTGCTGAGGGCAATGATCGGTATTAACCTTGTCAACAACCTCAGAAGACGGGGGAGTAGCATAAGATTCATCAATATTCTCAAATTGCCTTTGAATCTTGTTTCTTTGGGATTCCACTACTCGAGTCTGCTCATGATCATCCGCCTTTCTCTTTCTATCATAATTCTTTCGAACCCGGCAGACGACATATTCATCACCATCACTAGTTCTTGAATTTGATTTAATGCGCATGGCCAGTTTACGGTCAAGGCGAAACTCGTGCATAATCCAGCAACTGTTTTCTTGAGGATATTTAGTATTCGCATATGTAAACCTTTTCCACCAACCTATCGTCTTCTTAGTCTTCGGATCTTTGACTTCACTCCCTTTGTTCTGTCCATGCCACGTCCCAGACCCTATAGTGCGAGCCACGCGCGAACCCGCACCCTTGGTGCTCGCTGGCTTCAGTTTGGTAAAGAAGTAAAGGTCTTCATCGTCTCCTAAATCTTGTCCGCCATTGTTATTCCATATATCTCTGGCCTCCATGCTACCATAAAGATCGATACTGGGGATAACATTCTCCTAAATCTTGCCCTCACATTCCTGAACAAAATAGGTGTGTTGAGCGCAAGCACAGACATTTGGTAGAGACTTTTAGGACACTTTTAGCAACTTTTGGGGTTCCTCATGTGTATTAGGTAGAAGTGTTCAATACTGCTGTATATTTGATGAACATGATGCCTACAATGTCACAGCCTTCTCCTTGGGAATCTCTTTTTAAGAAATCACCAGATTACTCAACTCTTATGGTTTTTGGATATAGTTGTTTTCCCTAGCTAAAACCCTATACCACATCAAAGCTTGAATGTCTTTGTTGGTTACAGCTTAAATCATAAGGGTTATTGGTGTCTTGATCATCAAACCAATAGAGTTCACATATCTAGGCATGTTTTTTTATGAACATACATTCCCATTTAAACAAGTTGGTTCCCCAATCTGTCCCTAGCCAACCCCCTACCTATGTTCCCACCTCTATTCCCACTACACTAACGTTTTCCCAGAGTCAGGCACCAACTCCATCCCTGTCCTCAACTCAATTGCCTACAACACATTCCAATCCACAACAAGCATTTGCATTACCCTCTGTGTCTTCTAATCAATCTTTAGAATTACATGTTATCCCTCCATCCCTTCACCAGCTCCATTTCAATCTTCTAACACTCATCCCATGCAAACAAGATCTAAATCTAGTATTTCTAAACCCCAAAGCTTTCATAGCTACCAAGCATCCTATTCCACAACATCTCATTGAGGATCATGTCCCAACTACTTATCTCCAAGCATCTAAGCATGCTTATTGGAGACAAGCAATGCAAGAAGAGTATAATGATCTTCTAAACATTGGTACATGGTCTATTGTGCCTTCTTCCCCCTCTCAGAATCTTGTAGGTTGTAAGTGCGTGTTTAGAATTAAGAGAAAAACTGATGGGACAATTGATAGGTACAAAGCTCGTAACGACTCGTCCTCAAATTTAACAATTTTTATAATTTTGATGTGTTAATTTATGAAAATGCCCTTCGAAGCAAAAACCTTGACTTTTGTTGATCACCTTGTCGTGTCATGTAAGATTCATTTCCTTAGCGTTTTCTCGTAGTACTCATTCTTACGAACACATGGAGGCTTATGGAATCAAATTTGGAGGTACGACGAGAATTTTACGGGTCTCGAAACGATAAAGGGTGTTTTGGTAATTTTACAATTGGAGATATTTCTCCATCAAGGACCATTAGGGTGGCGACATGTGGCGATTCTTTCCCTCCTGTGATCTCTTTGCCTCTATCTGGAACTCTCCATCCCTCTCTTTCTCCTTGTATCTCTCGAGAAAACTCTCTCTCTCTCTCTCTAAGCTCACCACCTCCCATTCCTAGTAGCCTTGTTGAGCCTCACATCAAGACCACCTTTAGATCACTATCATCACCATCACCCCAGCTCATCCCATATATCCCTCGAGACCAAGAATTTGAATTAAACCCAAACCACACTCAAACCGGAGAAACAGAGGAATGGAGAACTCCGATGAATTCTCAAATATTTCAGGCAAGGTAAGACTCAAGAACACCTGTGATCTCTTCCTCTTTGACATTTTGATTCGATTTTTGAGTTGTAAAATTGTTTTGATGACGATCTAACGCGGAAATCAACTCGGGGATACTTCCTTTGATTTTCCAACGACGGCCGTGATTTTGCAGGCGATTCTCAGCTCTCTCTAGCCACCTATTTCACTTGGGTAAGGTAGATTCAACTCTTTCATCTGTTCATCTTTAATTTGGTGCAATTTTGGAGCCAAATGGTGGAAGATTGAGCTCTATCGGAGCTCGGGAACACATCCCGACCAAACCAGCCAAGAAACCGACGACCGGACCCGCGATTGGGATTGGGTTAACCCGACCCGTAACCATTAACTAGTCCAAACCTTGGGCCATGTAAACCAGGCCCCATCCGAATTCAATAACCTGGCCTAAAACCATAACCTATTAACCCTAACTGTAAGCCCAACCCAACAACCTTAGCCCAGTTGCGACCTGGATCTGATACCCATGTTCCATAGTTGGCATGTGGGTGCACGTGGAAGGCTGTCATGGCCGGTGCATGGAGAACACGCACCTTTGCCGGAGGTATTGTGCTCCGCAGCCATCCATAGTGGTGTCGACGACTTTTTCGGTGAACTTTCCAACGACCCATCTCAGTGCATGGCGGCGTGTGGCCTTTCGGGCCGCCGCCACAAGCGTGGGAGAACCCGAGGTCCCTCCTTAGGTTTTTCAAAGTGCCGAATCCGAATCCACTGTCTGTTTTCCAAAATTCGATCATTTTAATGGAGTTTTACTAAACGGTCTCTATATGTGTCTATATGAGGTTAGGTGCATCAATGGGAAGTGAATCCATCCTCACTAGTTCAAGCAACTCTCGGGCAACAAAATATATGTGAGTGGACCCTTTCTAAACTTGCATGACTTTATAAAATATTAGGCTTGTATGCATTGCATATTTCATGAATGGAGCATGATTTATAATACATTTTACGAATTTTCATATTTATGATTTATTTAAATTGCTTTTACGGAATATTTATGATTTATCAAACTTATGTTTTACGAAAGATTATGAATGATTGGATTTTTGTATATGAAATTCTAGAGATATACGAATATGATTTATTTTACGAATTTATGAGTATGTGATGTCATGGATTGAAGAGATAAGGCTTTGAGCTTTGAGCTCTGGATTTGATATGAGTTTTTGAGATATGGTTTCAGTGTTTATCTACTAGGTTGTCATACAACACATTCACACAACACAGGTATATAGATGTTTATGGCCATAGGACACGGTTAAGGATGATTATGTATATGGTTCTTCACTGGCGTAACCCAGTGTCATACAGCTTCACCTTCGGGTGATGGACAGGTGCTACCTTCGGGTAAATGAGGAGTTGATGATATTGATGACATACCCCTAACTTCACTGATGAAACCAGTGTTAGACAGCTTCACTAGCCATGGCTAGTGTCAGTGTGTGATGTTATATATTTCTTCTCCGGCGTAACCTGAAGTCATACAGCTTCACCTTCGGGTGATGGAGCCTACCATGTTTCTTTACTAGCGTAACCCAGTGTCGTACAATTTCACCTTTGGGTGATGGACATGTACTGCCTTTAAGCAACTATGATACCCTTATAGAGAGTGCAGTATTGAGGATTTACGGATTTGGGTATATATAGAGCAACTAAATGCATACATAATCCAAGTTCTTTTCTACCTTCTTCCTTTCAGTTTGAACACGCTAGCAGCAAACATCACTTCAAACTGAGAAATTGGCAATCAACCATAACCTTTCAAACATTCAAAACCTCTCTGTACGTCGAAGAGATATTTCCCACTTGAAGACATGGAATTTGAATTCAGGATGGGCCACCATGAAACTACCATTTAAATGTTCAAAACCTCTCTGTACGTCGAAAAGATATTTCCCACTTGAAGACATGGGTTTTGAATTCAAGATGAAAGGACCAGAGACCTAATTTCAAAGTCTACCATTCAAATGTTCAAAACCTCTCCAAACGCCGAAGAGATATTTCCCACTTGAAGACATGGGTTTTGATTTGGGCCACCATGACAGGACCAGAGACCTCCTAATTTCAAAGTCTACCATTCAAATGTTCAAAACCACTCTGTACGTCGAAGAGATATTTCCCACTTGAAGACATGGGTTTTGAAACCTTTTCCTGTTGTTAATTGAGAAAAAAAAAAAAAAAAAAACATAACATGGAATTTGGGGAGTATAGCTGAAATAGAGTGACGTCTAAAGATGGTTACATAGAAATGTTAACAATATCGAAGTGTTATATACAGAAAATGCTAAACGTGGCCGGAATTGACTCATAGTAGACATTCCAAAATACCAAATTTTAAAATATGAACCAAAAGAACAAAGCATGAAATCCTTAAGTAACCAGATTATATTTCAGTCCATGTGTTAGCCAGCTAACACAGATGGTGATTGTGGGTTTGCACTGTATTAGACCATATAAAGGCCATATCAACTAATCTTCTATGGTAGGAGTAAAAGTCAAAATTCAAAGTTTTTTTTCCTTCCTGTTGACGATTTTTATTTCAGAAAATTTGGAAGAGAGTCGATTTTCTAGGTGATTTAACCCCACATTCGTCGATATATAAAAAATTTCCAATCTAATTATCCTTTAAATTCATAATATAAAAATATTATCTATAAGCGTTAATTGCCCATCTAGTTTTACATATAATACGCATATTATACCCGTGGCTAGTAAATGACTACTACTTAAAGAAAATTAATTTTTAAAGGGTACAATCCAAGTTCTTAGCTTTATTCTTTGTGTATTAACGTCCACGACTCACCACTTAGTAATACGGTTCACTTGTAAGTGAGAGTTCTTAGGTTCGATTATGGTCAAAGGTGAATTTGAACCACCTACCGCATTGTGAAACTAAGCCCACCATCCCCCTTTTAGTATAGATAATATTGTTTGTTAAAAAAATAAATAAATAAATAAAATCCACGACTCAACTCTTGCTTGCTGATGTGCTGCAAGAAGAGAATAGAGTTGGTTTTTGAAAGGTGCCTTTGTGGGGCCTTAGGTGTAGACCTTGAGGCTTGCAATCAAAACTAATCAAGCGCTAGGCGTGCCATTGCTATCTCAGTATAGCAAATGTAGAACAAGATTGTGTTTAATCGATTACTTGCGCCCCAGGTTACTCGGACTTCTTGTTATCAAAGGATTGTCATGGATGGGTTAAGTCCACTTTATGTTCTTTTTCTTGCCTTGCGAACAAGGACTTTCAGTTCATAGTCTTGCATATTTGAATGAGGGGAGTCCAGATCCCTTAAGTCATTTGTTTGGTTTTAAATGAAGGCGTATCCATCAAAGTGGCCAGATCCAGACACAATCTCTTAAAGTAGGAAAACAGATGGATATGACTTGAATACATGCTGGATAATACATTAAGCACTAGATATACTAACTTGTAAAACAAACAAAGAGCTTTGAGCAAGATTTCACCTTGTCAGGTAAGGTGGAACTTCTTGCAATCACTTCTCTTTTGAGTGTATAGGGTTTATATGCTAAAAAGGGATGGATGGCAAACAAGTTTACACAAGGGAATCGATACTACGCCACTAGGGGTGGTAGCAAAGCTGTTAAACTAGACAAAAGATGGATTTTGTAGGGAATGATCCTGAAAATGACCGAGATCTGGGCTAATTACAAAGCTTTTAGATGCAAATCTGGCTTGAGAGCAAAGTTTATATGTTTGTTTGTTTGATTGGTTGAGTGTCCTTGTCTCTGGGGCCTCTTTCTCCTTTTGTAAGCAGATTAGCCCGACTGTAGTGACTTTGCTCTTGCCCGAAAGCATTTGAAGGGTAGTGAGTCATCAACTTTTTACTTGTATTGCCATTGAAAAGTGCTTTTTGGCTGATTGTGAGTTAGTCCCCATCACTTGACTTTTAAATCATAGGCACATGGCCTATGCATTAGTGGGAATACGCCAATTTGTCTTTGGGCTTGATGATGGGCTTCAGGCAAGTCTTCTTTCAATTGGCATCTTTGGGCTTTCAAACACTTGCAACCCAATGTTCAAATATTAACTCAAACTCACTTTTTGGATCACTTGAAACTAAATTCTTCTTGACTTTGAATCATCTTGAGCTCCTTGGTTTAAGCTTTAATCTTCTTTCTGGAAAGCTACCATTTTCTCTACCATCCCACAATGTTCAGACACTGGATTTGTCAAGCAATCGCTTGCATGGTGCAATTCCATCATCATTCTTTCAACAAGCTCGGAACTTAACTAGTTTCAACGTCCACAACAACAGCTTCTCAAGTTTGATCCCATCCACCATATGTCTTCATTCTTCTCTTTTAATTAGGGTGTTGGATTTTTCGGTAAATGTATTCAGTGGTAACATTTCTCCAGGACTCGGGGAGTGTTCAAAACTGCAAATTATTCGTGCTGGTAACAACATCCTCTCAGGCGACTCCCGAAAGATATCTACAATGCCACCAAACTTGAAGAAATTACATTCCCTTCCAATTCACTCCATGGAGCCATAAGTGAGAAAATTTTCAATCTCACCAACCTTGCAATCTTTGACCTTTCCTTTAATCAATTGAGTGGCCTACTCCTCTCCATTTTGGAAAGCACTCCAAATTGAAAATCTTGGCTCTTGATTCTTTGCCCCCATCGTTAATGAATTTCATAAACCTTGTAAAAATACATATGGCAACCAACAACTTGGAAGGAGATATCTCCATGCTCAATTTTTCGAGACTTAGTCACCTCAGTAAACTTGGCCTATATCAAAACCACTTTATCGGTACATTTCCAACAAGCCTTTATTCATTCTAGTATTGAAAAGCTATTTGTTTGAATGCAAATATTCTAAAGGGACAAATACAACCTGGAATTCTTTCATTGAAATCTTTGTCACATCTCTCACTTCGTGGCTTAACCAACATCACTGGGGTAATGAAGATATTAATGCATTGCAAAAGTCTTCAAATACTATGGCTTGCGTATTCGTTCAAGGGTGAGGAAATGCCAGCTGATGAAGGTGTGGTTGATTTCGATGGGTTCCAAAATCTTTGATTTTTGGGTTTTTTTAGTTGTGAGTTCATTGATCAAATGCCTTCATGGTTATCAAAACTCAAGAATGTAGAGATCTTGATTTTGATAGGCAGTAGAATTACAGGGCCAAATCCTAGATCGTTGGGGACCCTTCCCAAACTCTTATTCTTGAACTTGGCAGACAGCCAAATTTCCAGTGAATTTCCAAAAGAACTTTGTGGACTACCAAGGTTAGTACATGAACCAACCACAACTCAAGTAAACGATTATATTGACCTGCCTATCCTTATTTACCCACGAAGATTATCCAACTTTCCACCAAAAATAAACCTGTTTGGTAATCACATCCATTGGAGAATACCTACTGAGATCGGCCAAATACACCTTGTCCACATCTTGGATCTCAGTGGCAACTAATTTTCTGGCAGCATTTCAAAACGAATATCCAACCTAAAAAAATCTAGAGAAATTGAGCTTCTTTATGAATCATTTGTCTGGAAACATCCTGTTGTCATTGGCAATCCTTAATTTCTTGAAATATTTCAATGTCTCCTACTATAATCTCGAAGGACCAATCCCAATAAGCACTCAGCTCAAAAGTTTCGATGCTTTTGCATTTGAGGGGAATTCAAAACTGTGTGGCCCTCCACTTCCAAATGAGTGTCTTCCAATTAAGGGCATTATGCAGATAGCAAGAACAACCAAGGTGTGGACAATGAGCATGATTTTCCATGGTTGTATATTTTCATTGTACTAGGTTTCATCGTAGGATTTTGAGGAGTGTGTGGTTCTTTAATTGTTAAGAAGACATGGAGATATGCATATTTGAAATTCTTTGACAATGCACAAGATAAGCTCTATTTCATGATTACAGTGCACGTGAATATGATGAAAACAAGGCTGAGAGAAGACTAGATTGTGATTTTTATCGGTTTTCTTTTCATACCGAAGACTACGAGGATATGTATATTACCTTTTGCTTTAGGTCTATGTCCCTCTGTTTTTTCCTTGTATTTTCTTTTATAAGAAGGGTAAGGTAGTTTCCTGTATTTTATTTTATTGTTTTATGAGGGTGTATATCCCCCTTAATAAGACTGTGAGGATATGTATATTACCTTGTCCCTTCTTTTTTTATTGTATTTTGTTTTGCAAGAAGGGTAAGGTTTATGCACCCCCCTCATTTCCTCTATTTTTTTTTTGTTTTGTTTTGTTTTGTGTGGGGTAATGTTTATTCCCCTAACTAATGTAACTATCTTTTTTCATATCAAAATATATTAAACTAAGAGTGCGCAATGTGGGATACACCCTTTTTACAATGCATAAACGTGCAGAAATGTAAAGAGTACATGTACAAAAATAACATAAACAACTTCCTACATTATTGAAAATGAACGTCAGAAACTGCAAGTGATCCTCATCTCTACTAGAGTACAACAACTAACTCCTGAAGGGCTACAAAACAAAAAGTGTGACTGGGGAAAAATAAAAGTTTTCTAGAACCTTGCTTTTTGGAATATAGTAACCCTCGCTGTACAAACTGATAGGGATTTTTACCACCTGTAAAAGGTGGGATAAAACACTTAAAAATACTTGCAAGAGAATATGTAGTTGTAGTATAAACGGCTCAAGTAAGGTCGTTTTCCTTAGGGATTATTTAAAACAATTTATGCATAACCAAAATCTTAGTTAATTACTTGAAAACAAACATTGGAAAAGGTTGACTTAATTACCTAAATTAAGAAAAACAAAATTAGTTAAAAAGGTTAACTAAAATTTGTAATTTTAAAGAAGGAAAAAGGAAACAATTTTTAGAATTCAAAGTGAGAAAGTACTAGGGTTTTACCGTCATCTTAACAATCCTATATAGTTTTACCAATTACTTATGAATTACACATGCAACTTTGAAGGTTAAATTTTCCTTATGCATATTCTACTTGTGGCATTCAAGCTATAACGTATATCAAACATGCAATTCGTCTGTGGCATTCATATCAAATATAAACATGCATGACTCATTAAGCATTGTGAAAACCCCTTGAAAAACCATGCAACCCCTAAGAAGTGGCATTCGCCCTAAGTGAAATTACAACTATCAATCACAAGAAGCAATACTCAATCCTCCGGTGGCATTCCGACCGAATGACATCTGATTACTTATCTAAACATCCTAATGGTAGCTAAGCATTGAGATATAGAGACAATTTAAACACAGTGATTAATAATTCAAAGTATGCATGTATAATATCATAAGCAATTAAATAAAGACTACATATTCATGCTAAGGCTCAAAG